ACACTCCACAAATTAACAAGTAGAAACTCTACTAGACTGGTTGAAATGATAGTGAATACGAAAACAATAATATTCTGCATTTCCTATGGATGAAGACATTTGAAGCATCCATCCTACTGGTTCCAGGACGAGCGGGGACTGGGGCTGCCGGAGCATCCATTACATGAAGTCGCGTCTACAGGATTGTAGCAGAATTTGCAGCACTGCTTTGAAAGTTTCATTTTGCAAGCTGAAAAACTCAGAACTTGTGTCTGATTCTGGCTATTAGCCTAATAATGTTTTTATTCATTTGAAAAAGACGAGCATGCTGACTAGCTTTAGAATCAATCAGCAGGATGAGATAAAATAGGCAGCTTGTTCTGAAACAACAGATTTTTTAAATGAAACAGAAGTGAATTTTCTTAAAGAAATCAAAAAACTCTCGATCAGCAACTGAAGTGGCGTCATCTGAATCTCCTTTTGAACATTTGGCAGCAGAAGAGTCAGTAGTATGTCTGATCCACCTACACCCCCACCTGGGTCTCTTTATGCCCTGAAATCTTCCTGCAGCGTCGCCCTGATTGTTCCAGCTGATAATGAGTCACAGCAGAGCAATGGGAAAATAAAAAGTTTGCCTTTTAATGAGAATCCACAGCATACTTGAACAAAGAGCTCATGGCGAGTCGCACTGAAAGGTCTAAATAAAACTACAGCTACATTTCCTCTGCTCATTTGCTGTTTGGTTATAACTCACTGATGATTAAAAACTAAATCTACTGAACATCACGACTGAAACAGTAAAATGTTAGAGGAGGAACTCTGGAGGATTTTCAGCTGCATCATGTGAGCAGAAAGTTGTTCATTTCTGCCTCGACAAACTAATTTGTGTTCTGGTGACACCTGAACGCCTCAGCTTCAGTATAAGTGGGCTGCGTGACATCATGCTCCATGATGGTGGCCCTTTCTTCTCTCATGTGTGATGGATGTGTCTGTCATAGCGGGCTCGCTACACCCTATTGGGCACAACTTTTTTCTGACAGAGAAATAAGCCAATCCTAACGCTTCAGTGATCCGCCGCTCTAATCTTTTCCTCCTGCTGTAATTTCAGACGCTGAATGAACCCAGGTAATCCCTCACAGGGAACGTTGTTTCCACATGTCGTCTCTCTCTCTCTCCTATTTTGCCTCCACCTGACCCATCACTCCTCTGCCAGCTGCTGCTTCTGTTCTCTCCACCTCATGTTCTGCCTCCCTCAGCTCGCTGCTCTTCTCAGTCTGCCATTGATTTTCTATTTGCAGCCTCACCACACCTACTCAGTAAGTCCCTCGCATTCCCCTTCATCTTTCTTCTTTTCTCATCTTTTTCTGCTGCATCTCGTTTCTTTCTTATTAACCTGATTTTCCTTCCTGTTTCTCAGGAGACCAGATTCTGTAAATCACCTGTCTAGAGTCTGGCACAGTAATCATTTGTTGATACTCTTTTGAAAATACCAATTTATTAACACTGCAATAGAATAATGAAATACATTTTCTATTTTTTATACACAAACTGCTGCAGAGTGATCTCTTTCAGTCTTGAAGCATCTTGTCTCAGAAACCCTCAGCAGTGTCGCGGTGTAGGAGGTGGAGATGATGGACCATGTGTGGTTGAGCTGAGCAGGAGGAAAAATGCAGGCTTCAGTAAAAGTAAAAATGGTTTAATGGCAGGATGGGATGAACAGGAACACCAGCAACAACAATGAACTGACAAAGGACAGGGGCAAAACAGGTGGTTTAAATACAGAGGGCTAATTAGGGAAACATGGACAGGTAAACGAGGGACAGGTGAGAACAATAAGGGTAATCATGGCAGGAGAGGAACACAGTCAGGCGGGCAGGGGCAGATTGTGACAAGCAGGTCAAATCAGACTCAGTCGATTTGTTGAAAAAGACCATTTAAAGTCTCATCCAGCATTAAAAATGTTTATTTTTGGAATAAAATCAACATTTGATCAGTTTCTAGATATTTAACTTAAGCTTTTATATCATCTCACCAGCTTTCCTCCTAAAATTGTTTTTACACATCTCAGTGATGAATGTCATCTCAAAACAATTTCTAGCTGTTTTTTGAGCGCACACTGATGTTTCCATCCATAATGTTTCCTTTAGTGGTTTTAAAACTGGTTTTTAACGCTCAGCTGAGTTTTTATTCTGAATATTAACCAAAATGATCATTCTTAAAAACCATCTGCTCAGTGACCAAAAGTCTTAAATCAGCTCCTGATGACAAAAGCACTGAGAGATAAAATCTGGTTGATACAAACATTTCCATGAGAAAATGCACTCAGTGATGTTCACGTCTGCAGGCGTCATCAGAGGCTCTGGTTCAGCCCAATGAAGAATCACTATAATGAAGCTGGAACAAACTCACCTCCACCCTCCTCCCCTTCAGCATCAGCTGCTGGTGTCAGAGACACGTCGGCGTTGACGCAGTTGGAGGTTTGTTGTGTAGAAATGTGCAGCTTCCTTTCTTTATGATAAAAGCAGGAGTCAGATTAACTCTCAGGATGTTTTAGGAGGTTTTTAAAGGAAGGTTTGATGTTGTCGCCGTCGTCTTCCTCCGCTTATCCAGGTCCGGGTCGCGGGGAAAGCATCCCAACTAGGGAAATAGGGGTTTGATGTTGTTGCTTTAACAAAGCCAGTGTGATCACTGACACATCCTTCATAACACATTTATGCAATTATTACTTAGTGTGACTGAAAGAAAATGAACGTTAAATTAAAGTAGATTGCTTCTTATGTTAGACTGCTGCTCCCTGATTGTTGCTCCAATTTTATTAGAGAAATTTTAGACTTCGTTCTTTTGAATTGATTTAAAATGTATGTTTTAATTTTCTCATCTGATTTGTGTTTTGTTGTTTATTGATTCCATTCATTCAGTTTAACTAGAAAACATCTTCCTCTTCCTCTCTCAGCCTCCTCATCACTCTGTCTCTTCACCCGCTCATCTTCAGCTGGAGTCGTGGTGCCACCACTTCATCCCATTAGCCTCTCCGTCCCCCCCCCCCCCCCCCCCCCCCCCCGCTCAGACACCTGCTGAGTCCAGCCGAGCTAAAGACTCCCAGACTCCCACCACCTCCACAGGCTCAGGAAGCTGATTGTGTTCACTGATTGCTGAGCAGCAGATTTCACCGGTCCCCTCTTTGGTCGAGCTGACGTGAGCTCACATTTTCTCCCTCTCTGTCTCTTGAAGCAATCAGTAGCAGAGAGTGAAATGTGTTTGGGGAGGGTTTGGTAGCCGGAGTCTGTTTGTGGGAGCAAGGTGCTGTTATTGCACAACAAGTGCAGCAGAGGAAATGGAAGGCAGGATATTTTTGATCAAAAACTCTCAAAGGAAGTTTAATAAAACCTGAGTCACTGAATCCTGTCTGGTCGACTTCAGTTAAATCACCCTGATTGGGTTACCTAAACTTACCCTGATTGGCGGGGTTTGACAGGTAATTAAAATTGCGCCCACATTTTCTAAGTTAACACACATCTCTTCAGTGGCGGACTGGTAATTGGGAGAAACGCGGGGCTTAATTTGAGCCGGATCTTGCCGGAACAAGATCCGGGAACTATAATCTTATTTAAAGAGCAGCAGTCGCAAACCTATTGATGCACCTGCAGCCTCTCAAAGTTCCTGCTGATCTAAACATTAAAATAATTATTTCATTTTCTGTTCCTCACTTCTGATTACCTTCAATGGTGTCTGTTGCAACCACCAGGTACAGAAAGGAGCTTGTTTTTTATGTGACTATTTTCTGTCCTGTCTGTTTATTATCTACCTGCATCTCCTCTCATCCCTAAAGAAAAACTGCTACCTGCCGTCATATTTGTGCACCTTATGAATTACCTTTGAACTGCAGTTCGAAAAGATCTACCGACCGCAAAAATAGCGGAGTGCGCGCTGACCGCACCGGTGAGGTGAAGTCACCAGAGGACGAAATAGGTGATGCGCTCTGCACCGCAGCAGCGAAACACATCAGGCACAAATAAAAGACAGAAAGCATGACAGGATTTGGGCCGACATTGACGATCGGGTGTTAAATTTGTTTTGAGGTGGCGACACTTTGAGAATGTTACTGTGGCCGTGCTCAGGACGCATCTGTCTGGAGCGCGTCAACGATCAGAGCTTTGCGCCTCTCAGCTCTAAATAATCCCGAGAGTCCACATAGTTAATGTAATATCAGTAGAACCAAGATCGTTTCGGTCTCGCCCTGGGTGTGTTGAGGGCTTCCAGTTTGTCGCATGAGTTGCCAGATCCTAGCAGACAGTTGCCGGAACGGTCCTTTCAAAATAAGATTGTTCCCGGATCTTGTTCCGGCAAGATCCGGCTCAAATTAAGCCCTGGTTACATCTGTTAAAATTCACTTGAATCATTCAAGATGAAAACAATTATTAAAGATTTAAAGTGTCAGAAGAATTATCAGATTTTAGGAATCGGTGCATGAAAGAAACCTGATTAAAGCCAGCTGACCAAATGTTTACAGCATTTAGGATTGATTTGTCAATGAGAAGATTTACATAAGATGTGATGAGACACCAGGAGGTGGAGGTGTTTATCCATCCATTTTCTGACCCCGCTTCGTCCACGCAGGGTCACGGTGGGGGGGGGGGGTCAACAGGCAATCAGGCGGGGTACATCCTGGACAGAGAGCCAGTCCATCGCAGGGGGTGGAGGTGTCTAGTTCCAGTTAAAGCTGAGTGTGTTTCTGCACCACAGGATTGTGGGTAATTAGTTTAATGAATGCATTCTGCTGCTTGAACACTCAGTTTGCTCCTGAGGAGACTTTTGTGTTGGTTTTGTTTCTTTCTTCAGTCTCACTGAGCTCTGCTGTCACCTCTTCTCACATCCTGGTGACCTGTCCACAGCTCCGTCTGAAGGTCACTCTGGTCCTCCATTAGAGACGAGAGAGAAAATGAAACTCTGATTGTTTGTGTTGGTCTCTTCCAGCTGATGGACGTAGTGACTGATGGTCTTTAGTTTGTGTCACTTTGCAGATCGGCCTGTGGCACTCTGAAGACGGTCTGTCCATGGAGACAACTCTTCCATCTATCAATGTGACGGAGACGCTCTTCAACACGACTCTTACTATTACTACGATACTGGTAAGATCAGCACACACACACACACACACACACACACACACACACACACACACACACACACTTTTTATTTGTATAAGTCTCAGTTTAATCTACACGTGGTCGACTTTCTGCTGTCAACAGATCATTTGCATTTAAAACACTCGTTTTGTTGTTTCACGTCCAAATCCATCTTCTTGGCATCAGAGGGCTTGATGCTCACTATTGTTTCACTGAGAGTATTTGATGAGAGCACATCACGTTGTGTCAGCAGCAGCTAATGATTCACCACGTCAGTCATTTTCAGCCCCATTAGAAACACTTCTTTCTGACCAACGTCAGTGCTGCTGCTAAAAGAGACAGTTTGTAGCTGGGTGAATACTTTAAGTGTGAGTTTATACTTATTTATACTAATGGAAATAAACTCCAGACTTTAAAATGATGAACTATTGCTTTAAGATCCAAAGGAAGTTACATTTTAAATCTTCATTGGTGATAAATCAAAGATTAATAATTGTTTCCCTCTGACTGGATCTAGCCTCCTTTCACTTAATGTGTGTGTGTGTGTGTGTGTGTGTGTGTGTGTGTGTGTGTGTGTGTGTGTGTGTGTGTGTGTGTGTGTGTGTGTGTGTGTGTGTGTGTGTGTGTGTGTGTGTGTGTGTGTGTGTGTGTGTCCTTTGTTAATCTGATTACAAATGAGACGATATTTTCCCAACATCAGGAGAGTAAATAAAAGATTTGGGAGTTCACAGAGCTCTGATTTCATCTGGATTTATATTCTCTGGACCAAACTTCAGAAGCCACCAAGGAGCAATTTTCAGCTCCGATCGCAGCTCGTTCATCACCGTCTGATTGCTGTGTCACTGTTATCTTTGCTTGTTGGCGGCAGACGAGCCTCAGCTGAAGGCCTCCATAAGAATTTCTTACCTGCAGCAGCAGCCTGCAGGGATGTGTGTGTGTGTGTGTGTGTGTGTGTGTGTGTGTGTGTGTGTGTGTGTGTGTGTGTGTGTGTGTGTGTGTGTGTGTGTGTGTCTGTCTGAATTACGGAGCCGTTTTGTTCCATCACCAGCGGACTGTCATCTTCTCACCTCAGATTCTCTAACAGCTCCGGGGGAAAAGACAGAACGCTGCCGAGCCGCTGATTCAGTTTGTTGCAGGAACCGTTTAGATCTCAGATCTTCACACCTTCAGGCTCTGGATCCATGGAGGAGAAAACACTGGTCTTTGTTACTGGGAGATTCAATTATTTAGACTGGGTTTTAATTATGTAACGGTTTTGTGTTCTATGTGTGTTAAAGTTTGAGTTCCACGTTTATCAGCCTTGAAGGTTCATTTCACTTTCCCTCAGTTAAACATGTTAACCTCAGCTTTCATTGAACTTTGACCCCTGTGTTATTGCTTGTTTTAGCTGAGCTTCACCTGCATTGACGCCTGTCTTTGTCTGCTCCTTAAGTGTGAAATTTCTCATTTTTAACCCCAGTTGATTTATTTTTGTTCCTATAACGTCTGAAACAAGTCCCACCTGTAAGAGTTATCATCTACTTTTAAACGCTTTCCTCCCAGATTCCCTCGGGTTCCTGATTACTTTCTTATCCACTCACATATTTATTGGTAAAACTTCAGAACCCGGATGATAAAAGTCGACACTCAGGCAGATTTTTGACGTTCGGTTCTGAGCCACTGAGGCGTGTGAACATAAATTTGTACATGCAAACACAAGATCTGTCAGCAGTTTCCAAAGATCTTCTTCCTGTTTAATATTATTATTCTGCAGTAGCTTTATAAAGCTCAACCAGTGACTCAGCTTATTTTCTAATGACCTGACATATTTAATAGGAAGAGTTAGACACAAACAAGGCTGCAGGATGGCGTCCCAGCTGCCGTCCTGCTGCTCTGGAGAGCGTGTTTAATGATAAGGAGACTGCTGAGAAAAGAGAGAGGAGTTGTGTGTCGACATCTCAAACACCCAGAGGGCTATAAAGCAGGAACTCCACTGTGGTGTGTGTGTGAGACTTAACGCCTTCCAGAGCACCTGTGTGTGTTTTGTTCAAGTATAAAATGTTGGTCTTTAACTAAAGTTATCAGTGTGCAAACAGACTTCTTGTGGCGCGGGAATAAGACGCTGCTTTTAAAGTCTGCACCACTTCATAGCTTTAGACTAATGGTTTTATTTCTATTTGGCTCCCTAGTGCAAAATAACCTGGGTGAAGTTTTTCTTCATGATTTTTACTTTCATGGATGACAGGGCTTCATAATAAACTTTTCTCGTTTATGTGCTTATTTTTTATTCTGTTTTTTACTGGAATTAATCTTTTAGTGAAAGTGTTTCTAATTTTACTTTCAGAAAGTTTGCAGATCAACTTTAAATGGCAAGGAGCTTTTTTAACTGAAAAACGTACATATCAGTGTCAAAAGGAATGAAAAATCCTAGTATTGTGCATTCATGTGTTAAAATCTCCAGCTATTCAAGGTTGAGGTAAACGGGTCCAAGGTGGGAAACCCAGACATGACCCAGGTGGTCTTACACTCCTCGCCTGGACGATTCCATCTGGGTTTTCACTGGGGTATCCTCCCAGTGGAGGAGTCTCTGCTCAGAGGGAGTAGAGCAGAGGCAACCAACCCACCTCTGACTCAGTGGCTCAGAGCTCATCACTTTATCTTTGAGGCTGAGGCAAACCCACAAGACCTAATAAATGTTTAATATCTTTGTGAATTTAAGATTAATAACACTTTGAAAAGCACTACATTTTTGCTCTAACACAAGGCAGATGAGGAAACAGTTTGCATGTAAACATCAAACATAATAATTAATAGCTGGATTTTCTCATTCCTTACAGTTGTGTGAATTTCTGTGTTCTTAATCTTTGTAACAACGAAGTGATCAAACAGCAACAGGGCAGCTAGTAAATGTTTTATGAACATTTAAAAAATGGAATACAACTATAGCTCTACATTCAGACTGATTTATGCACACACACACACACACACACACACACACACACACACACACACACACACACACACACACACACACACATATATAGACAGACAGATATAGATAGATAGATAGATAGATAGATAGATAGATAGATAGATAGATAGATAGATAGATAGATAGATAGATAGATAGATAGATAGATAGATAGATGATAGATAGATAGATAGATAGATAGATAGATAGATAGATAGATAGATAGATAGATAGATAGATAGATAGATAGATAGATAGATAGATAGATAGATAGATAGATAGATAGATAGATGGATAGATAGATAGATAGATAGATAGATAGATAGATAGATAGATAGATAGATAGATAGATAGATAGATAGATAGATAGATAGATAGATAGATAGATAGATAGATAGATAGATAGATAGATAGATAGATAGATAGATAGATGATAGATAGATAGATAGATAGATAGATAGATAGATAGATAGATAGATAGATAGATAGATAGATAGATAGATAGATAGATAGATAGATAGATAGATAGATAGATAGATAGATAGATAGATAGATAGATAGATAGATAGATAGATAGATAGATAGATAGATAGATAGATAGATAGATAGATAGATAGATAGATAGATAGATAGATAGATAGATAGATAGATAGATAGATAGATAGATGATAGATAGATAGATAGATAGATAGATAGATAGATAGATAGATAGATAGATAGATAGATAGATAGATAGATAGATAGATAGATAGATAGATAGATGATAGATAGATAGATAGATAGATAGATAGATAGATAGATATCAAAATGACAAATGTTACTAGAATTTATGGTAGTGGAAATTACTGTCATTAGTCCAAAATTAATGATTTATGACAAAAACATCTTTAGAAAATGCAGCCTGTAAGAAAAAATAGAGATAGAAGAAAGAGTGATGCGGGGATTTTCTCCATAGAGTTTTAGCACTGATACAGTCATTTGCCGATACCTCAAAGAGCATGTTTGTTGACTAAGTCACCTTGGTAACCAATGTAGCAGGCATCAAATGATGATAATGATAAATGACCCGCACTTGTATAGCGCCTCTCAGAGTAAGGACTCCAAAGCGCTTTACACTAAGTGTATCATTCATCCATTCACACACACACATTCACACACTGATGGTGATGAGCTACAATGTAGCCACAGCTGCCCTGGGGCGCACTGACAGAGGCGAGGCTGCCGAGCACAGGCGCCACCGGTCCCTCCGACCACCACCAGCAGGCAAGGTGGGTTAAGTGTCTTGCCCAAGGACACAACAGCAGAATTCTCTGACCAGAGCCGGGATCGAACCTGCAACCTTCCGATTACTGGACAACCCGCTCAACCTGTTGAGCGGGATCAACCTACTGCCCCATTCAGGGGGGTGACCCTTTCTTTGATAAGCCTACACAGCTGCATCCATCCCTCTTTCTCATGTTCTGTCTCCTCATTGGTCAGTGTGTTGTCACGTGGAAACGGCATTCTGTTTTTTTTTCTCACATATCTTAGTTTTGCTACTGTAGGAGTTGGTAAATTGAGTGCTTTAAGAGCTTAATATATTACCTCTACTTATGACCAATAAGCTGTGATACTCTATATAAATATAGAATATCAACCTGCTTGGTCTTGTGTCTTTAATCAGAAGATTCTAGGGTTCTTTGTTTTATTCAGGGATTGTAAACACTTTGTTATGATTCAAGGAAAGAGTCAGGTTTGTAAAAGTAAGAATTTATTTCCCAAACAATTAAACATGGCAAGTTAACTAATATTTACTGTGATGGATGAATCTGGATGGAGTGGATGGGATGTGTGGTGCCTATGCGTGAATGCGATGTTATCAGAACTTCCGTTTCTAGGAAAGCTGAGTTCTGGGTGTAAAATAATTTGGTTTGCGTTAAGCTATGAAGTTGGTTCTTATCAGAAAGCATCAGACGCGAATCACACTGTGTTCTACCTCACCCTTCGGAGACCCTCTTCCAGAGATGTCGCCAGGCACACAGGCTGGATGGAACCGTTTGCGTCTAGACTCTCA